TTGCAGGGTGTGAAAGACCAATTCAGGAGCACCAGGGGGCGATGAGCATGAAAAAAAATTAGATTGAAGGTGCAAAATAAAAAAAAATAAAAATACCAAAGTCAAATGTGATGGAGGACATTACTGAGGTAAGATTTACAATAAGAACAAATAACAAGCAAAATTGAAAATTTTCAAACATATAAATGTTGGTTATAAATTGTCTAAACATGGGAATGTTCAATTGGCGGTCTATGATATTACTCTTTTAATCATAAGGAAGAATGGCATTCCCCAATTCAGGTCACAACTGAATCATTTAAAAAATGTTACTACTGCGTCACCACCTCACTCTTTGACATTTAAAGTTCAGTCTTCATTTTACAGGCCAAATAAGCCAGTTATTAAGACAGCCCACTTTTTAGAACTAAGGAGAATTGATAGCGAACATGACTACATATAACAAACAATAGCTGGTGTCGAACCAAGTCAGGCGGCAGTTACAGTTGAAATGTCACTATGTTGATGAAATAACTGTTTCAGTTACAACGCAATCAGCTTAGCGAGAGGAGAAAAAAGATGAAGACCGCGACACAGATTGTGGGTCAAGCAGAAGACCCGAGGCGGGTGCGTCACATCTGTTCATGAATCAGGTGAATGGTTGAACACTTGACTTGCCTGCCTGCTCTCCAATCTTCCTCCGTTATTCACGCTTCACTTTATTATCTCTCACATGTGGGTGGATGTCCAGTCACATGCACAAGTGTAGTTTTGGTTTCATTCTTATTTAGCACTTTATACTTCCATTTTGACCTACATTGTGTAATGCAGTGATTCCCGACGAGTGTGCTGGGGCAGATTAGTGTGTCGTGAGAGCTCTAACGGTGTGCCGGGGGAACGTAACAAATTTCACTTAATTGTTGAGAAAATTATTTATTAATAAAAAAAGGAGCAAAAAGTATGCGCTTGACATATCTATCCTCTTTTTTTACTATTTTGCTTGGTGGTGTGCCGTGCGATGTATTTATTTTTTTTCTTTTTTAAAACTCATTCACTCCCAAAGACGTTTTTAAACGTCTTTTCAGACTTGATCCAGAATTGGCTGGTACTGAATGAGTTAAATGTGCATTCAATTCCAGCTCCGGCCTCCCTGTGTTCAGTTTGCATGTTCTGTCCGGGCATGCAGGGGTTTTCTCCGGGTACTCTGGTGTCCTCCCACATTCCAAAAACATGCATGGCAGGCTGATTGAACATTCTAAGTTGTCCCCAGGTGTGAGTGTGAGCGTGGATGGTTGTTCGTCTCTGTGTGCCCTGCGATTAGCTGGCAACCGGTTCAGGGTGTCCCCCGCCTACTGCCTGAGGACGGCTGGGATAGGCTCCAGCACCCCCCGCGACCCTTGTGAGGATAAGCGGATCGGAAAAAGGATGGATGGATGGATAAAAAAATGTGCCTCAGCTCAATATACATTGGTATAATGCATCAAAACTTTTTTGTGCTTTATTTATTGACGCCGAAAAAACAAATCTTACTGCTACTATACAGTGCATTGAGTCATCCCTTCTCATTAACTATCCAAAATATGCAGATTTCAAAGTAGCAATCAATTAATCAGTAAATGTAGTAATCAGTAGATTATTATTATTATTATTATAATTGTTGTTGTTGTATTGTGTCATTTATGCTTCCATTCATAAATAATAGTAAATATTCATGGTTTACCCCTCACTTTCCACTTGACGTTTTTTAAAATATGAAATATGATGTACGGTCATGTTCACACTGGTACAATGAGGATTACTTTCAGCATACACGCTTTTATGTATTCAACTACGCATCCAAGTTCCATTCCGTCGTCACTATTACCCGTAGAATGTCTTGCACCTCAGGGCAACACTTGTGCAGCCTCCGGCTAGCAACCATCCATGAAATGAGAAAATCTATAATGCATTTCATTATGTTCTCTTTTAGATGGTACAGGCTTGTCTAGCAAACATCAACCACCCTCCAACCAACCTTAATGGAATCTAAATACATATACTTGCTCGTTGTTATTCACACTGTCTACCATCTGTGCTTCGCTCTCAGTAACACAGATGAACAAAATGCGTTTTACATTCCTTATTCACAGGTCAACTAATGATGTCACAAGTGAGATCAATGCTTGTTTCATTCTGAAATGGTGAACAGAATAGTCTTGGCATGAAGGAAATTAAAGCCTACTTCATATTATCTAGAGTAAGTCTGACACATTACACAATGCATGTTGCACATTTCCTGCAACTGCACCTCCAAAGCAATGATGACACCTTGGCTGATGAAGCGTGGAAGGCTGATCAAAAACATTAACTCTGTGGTATGTCTTCACATTTAAGTACATTGATGATGATGGATTTGAATGCAAGACCGGAATATATGAGCCTTAAAACTGAACAAGGAGACTGACATCCCGGTCGGTAAACCACATTTGTAATCTGTGTTAATTACTGAAAAACATTGATTGTCGTCTTATACAGCCAGTATTGGGAATGTTCATTTTCTATATGAACCAGGTCAAAGTACAGTTCAAAAATGTTTAAATAAACGAGTTCAGTTGATAGTTCATAATTCAACATTTTGAATGTAAAATTGTTGCAAAATAAATATTTACATTTTAACTCATTTTCACGACACAGTATTAATTTATAAATGGAAAGAAGACTGGAGCAGAAGTTTGTCAGGAACAAAAAATACTCAAGAATTAGAAAGAAAGAAAGAAAGAAAGAAAGGAAGGAAGAAAATCAGCAAATGTCCCTGAGTGGCTGCCTCTCCAGCAGCGCATACCCACAATCTTGCTGCTGAAGGCTGTAAATTTCCCCAGTGTGGGACAAATAAAGGATATCTAATCTAATCTAATCTAAAAAATGTACTGGTCACACATGAATGGGGGCAAAATGCCACCATTAAGGTACAGTCTGTAGACCTGAAACTGATACTTTAGCAGAACGGTACTCCCTAATGTGCAACATTTTCACGTATGAAAAAAAGTATGTTCTTTCGGAGGTTGTCGGACCCCATTTTTAAAAGTTCACCCCCACTCCAGATGCTGGTCATGGAACTAAAAAAACGGAAGCTAGTTTTATTATCTCCATAGCCAACAGCTGAATACGTTTTATTTGTACACATTTCCACACTCATGTGTGTATGGTCCGATGAAACAAATGCTGTACTTAATGGCCATAATTCCAAAATGTATGTTTGTCCACAACACCGTTCATCGACAAAAGAACATAATTCCAGCAGTGAAGTATGGCGGTGACAGAATTATGCTGTTTTTCTTCTTTTGGAACTGGGGCCTTGGAAAAGTCAAATAGAATTCTAAAGTCGGCTTGATTGGATTGAAGTGCATTGTATTCTATAATAAGACTATTTCATGAATAAAATCCCTTCCTGAGTAGCATACAGCACAAAATGTATCATGGATGTTTTTCTTCCAATACACTGCATAATCAATGTATTGTGATATTATAGGTGTGCAGGTAGGCAAACGACAAAATATGCCATGCATTCTTACTGGCACTGTTAATGTCACAAGCCTTGTTACCATTTCCCATCCTGCTGTCCTGTGTGTCATGTTTGCTGGGAGGCAGCCTCCTTCTGATGATGTCACAGTGGATAAATAATTAGGCCACTGCATTGACGGCTGTTTTTTTACATATAGTAGTAGTCGGTGTTCATACTTTCATTACCGACAAAGACAGCTCAAGGAGAGCACATTATTGTGACAATGGATTTGTGCTAGGACATCAGAGGAAAACAGCCAGGAAGAAAACAATAATATGTGACTTGCTTCATTAAATCTCATCAGTGTGAGACAAGTCAGGGCCGATAATAGAGTGATAACAGACAATAGACACTGAACTTTAGCCAGGGCTGTCTCATTCATTTGTCATGATTTAATTTCACTGTAGAAATAGACATCCATTATCTGAATTACTTATCCTCACAAGGGTCACGGGTGTCTCGCTCGGAGCCTATCCCAGTTGACTTGGGGCAGTCGGCGGGGTATACCCTGAACTGGATGTCAGCCACTGTAGAAATAGCAGATATTTTATTGTCTCTGTCTGTTCACATAAAAATGTGGGCTTGAGCAATATTTTAGGAAATGGAATATGGCACAGTTGAAGAAAGTGTATCAATCATCATCATCATCATCATCACCACCATAAATTGGTTAAATCTGGGCTATAAACCTCCTGTTTTAAATTTGAAAAAAAATGCATGATAGGTTGAAGACTAAATGTCCATAGATGTGAATTGTTGTTGTAATTGGCTGGCAATCAATCCGGGATGAACCCAGTATCTCACCCAAAGTCAGTTGGAATAGACTCCATGTCAACTGCAACTCGAGTGAGGAAAGCAAGATGATTGGATGGAGGATTCATGAAACCTTTGGTTGCAATTGCATCAGCAATTTTGTGCTTGTTACTGTCTTCGTTATTAATAAATTGTTTTATTGTTTGTTGTTGTATGACTTATTTTTGCTCCATGTAGAGCACTGCAGCCCGGTGTCAGCTGGCAACAATAAAACTATCCTGGGTGGGTTAAAATCCACCAGCACCACCTATTTTGCAAACAACGTGTATTACATTGCGTTAAAAGCTACAATTGTAGTCATCCCAACACGTAATCTTGTCCGACATATGCGCTCTCTGTTTGATTTTTCATTGTTGCTCAATGTTAATCCTATTTACAAACAACTGTACAGCAAAGGTACATACACTACAGCAGGCACGCCATCACAACCTATATCATCATCATCATCATCATCATCAATCATCATCATCATAAACATCACCGCAGAACGACATTAATAGAACGAATGTACAGTACACGGGAGAAAGTCGGAACAGCCCTTCATTAAAATAAAAACACGTTTATAATGGTAAATCCGTTATTTCATTCAATTGAATCCGTCACACAAATGCACTGCATAAACGTAAATGTAAATGAACTAGTTGTCAGACTCTATGATCTATGTGCTGTAGTTCTATGAGCACCTAGTCGTGCCTAGGCAACGGCGTGAACGCGCACGTCAGCCTCGCTCGCCGCAGAGCCTCAGCTGCCTCAGTTGCCTCGGCTTTGACGATTAATCGCGAGGATGGTGTTGACAGCGAGAGGCGACGGATGGGCGCTTTAACTCGCGTAAATGGATGACACGTTCATATGAAATTACATTCTTAAGGCTGGAAAATAACGCCCCACACCCTACAACCACGACGTCTGTGGAGAAAGACGACGTTGCGAGGCCGTGGACAACTCGAACGTTTACTGATGGAATCTCCAGTTGCTGGTAGATGGAGAAACCGACATAGTGGACTCGTGAATAATTAAAAACGGCATCTGCTGCTGCTCAAAAAAAAGAAAGAAAAATAGGAAAGAACATGCATCTGCATCAGGTGCTGACGGGAGCGGTGAACCCGGGGGATTGCTGCTACTCGGTGGGGAGCGTGAATGACGTCCCATTCACGGTGAGTTTCTATTTGGATATTATTTGACTTTAGTTTATGTTAACTCGTGACGGGCTCAGTGGGTGGTTAGCTAGCTAGCCTCATACCAGCTGCTGCACGGGGGCGAACTAGACCGCTGAAGCTAAAGCTATCGGCTAACCGGGTAGGAAGCTAGCAAATATGCCGCACTGTAAGAATCCCAAACACTCGAGACTTCCCCTGCCTTACTCATTGATAGTCTGCACTGCGTTGAAAAACATCTTCAATTACTGACCTTTCCACACCAATATCGACACTCGTCAATTACTGCTGTTATTTATGCAGCGGATTTAATGCCAGCAACTCAATGACCTTTAGAAGCATGTTGTCACGTTACAATTACTGCAAGGGAATCCCTTTGCGCATCCATTATCGTAACTAGAAAATACTGTACTGTATGGTGGTCTAAATGTTGTCGTGCTCATAACGAGGAGGGGGGCTGTGTGTTGAGCCTGAGAGGCATTATAGTATTGGGTTGTAGAAGTGGCTTAGCTCGCAACCATTTGGCGTTAAATCCTCCTCACGGATCATTAGCTCCCTGTCATCCCAGCATCAGCCATGACGTAGACGACCTTATATGGATACACACGTGCTGGAGCATTCAGTGAATCTCGGAAATAATGCCAAACTCTTGCGATGCTTATGAAACAACATAAATGCACATTTTCTCACATAGGCAGGGTTCTCAGGCAAGCAAATTGCCCCCCGCCCCCCGGACTAGTTCTTGCAGTGGTGAAAGCAGTGTCATTCATGTGGACTAGCGCCAGACACCTCTCGGGGCTCCCATCCCTCTGGGTTACCTATCCTGTTGTTGAGATTTCACCATGATGTCACATAATAATTCATACTAGGTGGCAAAGGTCAGAGCTTTGTCTGATTGTGCCACTTATAAAGACACCCTTACATGTTAGTTGACCAAGGCAGAGCAATTGTGAAAACAAAGTGATGATTTTAGCCTTCCTTATTTGCTTCCAAGAGAAACGACACACCAGTTGCAATTTACATTTAAACAGGTGAGTTGATTAATAAAATATATATGCGGCGGAAATTCGGACATAGTTAACATGATCTTTGAAAGACTGGCTTCTTAATTGACTTTTTCTGTTGCTAGGCACAGATGTACTCTTTCGACTGTGTAATGGTGTCGACTGTGTAATGATGGAGTGCACGTTGTAGTGTCCTGTAGTAACAGGCTGGCCTTGTTGTTATTCTTGACTTAAAGAATCTTCACCATCCGAATGAAATTATTTAGATTTTTTGGGGAAGCAAAAAAAAAAAAATGCACACCTTTTGGGTATATCTGCCAGCGCAAACCCAAAGACAATTTTTTTGGCATTATTTCAGTAGTAATAATAATAATACTTTTATTTATAAGCGCCTTTCAAAACACCTAAGGACACTTTACAATATCAGAAGTATCTTGAAAACTATTAATGCTATATACCAGTGCTTCTCAAAAGAACTACCTAAAAAAATACTTGGCTCTACAAGTACCGCTATCATGACAGATATTAAAAGGCAGTTGTGGAGTGTTGAAAACAAACCATTTGAAATGATTAAATGCAAATGTGTTGTACTTTAATGTCAAATACAACAGAAAATTATTAAATACAAATGTGATGTACTTAAAGTTAAATACTATTGAAGTGTACTTAACAAATGTACTACACCGCGTTAAAAAAAATAAAATTATGACACACTAATGTGCACAGTTTGAGCATTTAAATTCAGTGATTCTTTTGCAAACCAATGAAGGGAGCCCACATACCAGTAGGATTATTCATACCAATCTGTTTACAGGCAGAATATGAGTGCACTTCCGGATTTAACAGTACATGCATAAACGTTTTCATGACCTTCGTGATACAAATATTCTTCATCTTGATGTCTGGCAGCTTCCCCACATTTTTCTCTGCCTCACAATTGGTCAATATTGCATTTTGCCCAGCAAGACAAGAATAGAATAGTATTCCAGTGGCCACTGTGATGGCCACTAATGTGGAATAGTCCACTCAATCCCTTCCAATTACCTTTCACGTTTCCCTCAAAAAGACCATTTGAAATAAACCAAGAAGAGACTGGTGGTAAGCAAAATGGTTTTAGTCAGTTGTTTGTAAAGTAAATGATAATGGTGATGATAGTATTGACTTTTTGGGGCGGCGGGGGGTAGGTGGGGAGATGATAATACAGAGACGGTATTTTATTATGTCCCATGAGACACTGCCCTGTAAATCTCAATTTTTTTTCTTGGCAGCCCTTTGTGAAACTATCTCGATCTATACCTGATTTGTAAGCTTTGTTTAATATGTCGTACTCCTTTGACATTTTGTCGTAGAAGCTGCATTGTAAAGATTTTAGTAAACATTATAGCAACTTTCTGACTGTTTGCTTCAAAAGTGCTGTGACTGTTCAAATAAAATGTGAGGCTGGTGCAATGGTTGTCCGGTGTATGTTTTGTCTGTTTGCATAAATTTCCTTCCAGACATTGGCTGCTTCCTGAAGTTTATTAGGGTATTTGAGTGAAGTCTGACTCATTACTTTTTGAACTGTATATAGCGGACTTGTTCTCTTCTGCCCTCATGTTAACCTCAGATGGAGGCTATAAATGCATGCGAGCTTTGCTCTGAGGCTCGCTATTGTGCATCAATGTAGAGGAGAGCTAGCTCTGAAGCAAAATTGTGCACATTGCCTTGAGGCCCAAGTTTCTGCACTTGGTGCTATCCCTCTCTGTCCGAGAGGACGTTTGAAGAACACTTGATAATCTGTCCAGTACATTTTCACTCATACTGACCCCGTGGGCTCTTGGGTCAGACCCCTGGAATACACACACAACACATGCAAGCACAATAACGGTTGACACAACTCAATTTCCAGCTAAAAGAGATACAATTTTATTTCTCGACCCTACAATCATGACTGAAATAACTTGAAATTGATAAGACTGGAATTTGCTGAAATACATATTGACAAGCCACAAGGCCTCTGGGACTGTGGTCGTGTTACAATTTTGGGGTTTTCAATTGTGCCTTTGCCATGTGTGCAAAGAAAATAATATTGCACCTCCTGTAAAACAAACATTCTGGGGTTGCTTTGCTAAACCCAGCACAGGCTGTATTCAACATTTGGTGGGTGCAAAGAAATCTCAAAACTATCCTGACACTTTGGTGCAAAATGTGCTGCCCCATGTCAGAACAGACAGCTTGAAAAAAGCTGAAACATCCAACCTGGAAAAGGCACCCTTAAAACCTGAGAAGGTTAGAATAGTTTACTCATGAATAGTGGGCCAAAATATCTGTTGATACAAAAGCCTTGATTAAAAAATCGATTTGAGTAATAATTATGTTGTTTGTGTGGACACATCCACACTATGTAAAGCTGATCATGTGACTCAGAGTAGTTTTTTTTTTGTTCCAGTTTGGGGCAAAATCTGAAACGGTTGTCTGTAAAAACGAAGGACTTCAACATATGATGATATGAAAATACCTCACAATCAAAAATTCTGTGACTGATGGCAGCTATCAATGGGCTTGTGCTGCTCAGAGGAGTATTGTCTAGCGCTTGTCCAGCAAAGATGACTTGTATGACTTACATCATGTGTCAGGGGAATGCAAAAAAAAAAGCTTTTAAATAAGAGCCAGAGAACAAACAGTTGGTCTGCATGCGCCTACAGTCTAGTTCCCCCCTCCCCAAATTGACATTGCCAACTACTTGACTGGCATGCATCCTACCGCAGTCGTCTGTCATTTTTGGCTCCTTGTGAGCAGGGATCATTCACTATGTTGTCTGTACACAAAGCTTTAAAAAAAAACATGGCGGAAAAGCAACCATTTTAAGTTGATCAAAGCATCACATGATGCTGATAACCGTGTCTTGGTATGCTAGTAGTTTTAACCATCACTGAAGACATTGTTAGGGTTCTTGTCTTGATGCTACTGCTCACTTTTTTTTTTTTACACCACTCCCAACTACTTACTTAATGTTTTTGAATTTATCATGATCGTTTTCAAAGTGGTGTATAATGGCAAATGCGAATTATGGCACGTAATATATGCTGCATGTGTTATGTTTACCTTGGACAATAGGAAATGTTATTATGCACGTTTTACCTGTTTTTTGTTTTATTGGTTGGTTAAGTGTTGAATTATTAAATTCCTTGCTAGTATCATTATCGCTACTCCCTTAACCCTCCAATCATGCTTAATTTATTCAAGTGCAGTGCATTCTCGTGTTTGAGATGTAACCCAATAATGGGTTGGAATAAATGGGTCATATTTTCTCATAATTGCTGTTGCTGACTGTTGTTCTTTGTGTGAATAGTATCACTCCATTAAGTCTCTTTATGCAGAACATTTCATAAAAATATATATATAAAAGCATATAGCCTGCTTATATCGTATCAGCTCGATATCAGTATTGGACAGTAAAGGTACTATAGACTGCAATACTGTATATTGGAAGTGAAAAAGATGTTTCGGGTCACCCCCCAAATGCTTTAATTACTGGTATTTTTTTTCCAAAGCAAAATATTAATGTTTCTGTTTAATTTGAGTTAAAAAGAAGGCAATGCGTAAGAATTAAATGTTCAAATTGAGTTTACAGAGTAAAATGAGGACTACTCATAGTATGACAAAAAGGCTCGCGGAACCACTTGGTTAAAAAACAGTCTGGTGTTGTTTGACTCTCAATGTCCGCGGCAACCCATCGTGCTGCTTACAGAAGCCATGCTGCAAACTATAAAAAGGCCCATACAGTGTGACGATAGGTTGGATGCGGTCAAAGTACATTTCGGGGATGTAGACGGTCTAAATACTCAAGCGATCTCGCTGAGCTGAAAATGTTTAATTTGGGATAAAAATATATTTTCAGCTCAGATTTTGACTGCGGCAGCCAATCTCGTGCAGGAAAGTGTTGGGAGCAGCTGCAGCAGCAGAACATGTCTGCATGATTGAGTTAGGCACTGGGAATAGGAGGCATTGGATGGAAGAAAGACAGAAGTGATCCCTCATTCGCTTCCTCTTATCTACACCCACTCTCCTTGCCGCAGTCAGTGCATGACAACATTCACACATTTCTTCGATTAAAACAAACAAAAAAAAAACCACACACTTTGTTCTAAAAATAAATAAATAATCTCTATGAAACTACTGCATTCCCCTGTCTTAAGGTTTGAGTATTTTCAGAATTGCCATTAAAAAAATGCTCTTCGCAAACAGAGATGTCTCCTGATCTCATCGGTACTATAAAAACGATACAATGACAAAGGTGCCCTCCAGGAAACAGGAATTGACTCTAGTGTAAAATCACCACTTGGGTTTCCCAAAATTGAGCAAGGACAAACATTTTTACTGGAAACCATTTGAAATCTCTCATTGCGACATTCACGAAGTTTGATATTTTTTTTCTGATTCCACACTCATGATTGTGTTACTCTGTCAACGTTACTGGTCATATTTATCGAATATTTATCTAGAGTAAGCTCCATTCTTAGTGTAAACATTGACCAGACTGACAAGGAGCGTCATACTTACCAATGTCCATCTGTTAATTAGGTTGAAGGCGAATTCCTGCTTTGTGAAAGATGACAACACAGTTGATGGCATTGTGATCCTGCAGGGTGAACAGTTCTATTGATCATAATTATTATATTGGAGTTGACGTCGAGTATATTGCCCCCAAGCAGTGAAAATAGATCCACATCCTCACCAAAATGTAACAGGTTAATCTTTGGCCCAAGCACAAACCCTCAGCAAAGTTTTCTTTATATTGGCTATTTATTTAGTTATTTATTTCGTTTATTATTTTAAGCAAGTCATCTGCTTTTATCAGTCTTATTTCCTGTTGTTTAAATTATAGTTCTCATGTCGACATACCTGCTAGTCTACTGTGCAAAAAGTTCAAATCAAAACAACTCAAATAGCGGTAGCCTAAGAGACATTTGCACAGTCCTCCTGTTTCGTGTATTTATTTACAAAGTAGAATACGAGTCTGTGATCGGAGTGTGGTCAGCGATGGTATAGCGGGTACACTCGCCTAATTTGTGTGCAGGCAGCGCGGGTTCAGTTCACACTCAATGACAGTGTGTAGGTGAGTGGAAATGATTGGTTGTCTATCTCCATCTTGCACCCTGCGACTGATTGGCGACCAGTTCAGGGTGTAGTCCACCCTTCGACCAAAGTTAGCTGTGATAGGTTCCAGCATCTCTCGACCCTGAACAGAATAAGCGGTCTTGAAAATGGATGGATAGAAGCGGTTGTTTTCCCATGTGCAGAGATGCTGATCATCCCAGCAAAGACAGTCAGTATTAAATTTGATACCAGAGATGATAAGTGGTCTATTTTTATACTGCTGGTGCTGATGTTGTAAATCCTTCAAAACATATATTCGTCAAAGAGATTTAATAATGTACTTCCAGTAATATTTTCATTTTACACAATACTGCCGCGCATCAGCATTATGCTCTGAAAAGTAACAAACAGTCTCCGTTTGCACACCTTTTCCTCAGCACCTTGTTTGTCATGCATGAGACTGTAGCACATGCAGGTGATGAAAGAGAAACAGGACACACAAACCAAATGAACAAAGATGTGATGAGAGACTCCAGTTCGTGACCGGTGTACTCATGTTTACTTGTCTGGCTCAGAGCCCTGCTAGGTGGAAATTACTCGCTGTCATAGAGAGTTAAAGGCAATCTCCATCCTCTACACAGCAGCCTCAGACAGTGCGTGACGGTGACCGCGTTTTAATTCAGAGTCGTAATGTGCTGCAGCAGATGCAGCAAGGGACTAGTAACGCACACACTGCAGTTTTCCTTTTACTTGCCTCTCGCGTACCGCGTGCAAAGAGTCATCTTGCTTCAACCACCGGGGCCATAACCGCTACGATTAGTTTGTTTTTGAGTGGTGACTGTAAAGCGTCCCTATTGTGTGACTCAGTGGTTCTCAGCCTCTCCTCCTATTCTCCTGAATAATGAAAGACACAAGCTGCTTTTCAGGCACTGCTGTTGCTCTGAGGCCAATTTACCTTGCTCTTTCGAATTTAAATTTGAACATAGATCAAGTTTTGCCTCTGACCCAGATTAGTTTAAGCTGTTGATATGCTTTCCCCGACATATTGTCATCATTATATATTATGTTAGGTATTAATAATAATACGTATACATTCGATCGAGACCGGGCCGGCCCCCTAATAGCAAAAATCTGCCTATAATTGAGGCCCTTTGAAAGGGGGAAAACAAAACAAAATTGGAATCACCTAAAATATACCCGACAAAAGCTGATAATTACTCAATATTCATTTTCCACGGTTCCATCAAAAAAACTGTCTTCCGTTGTTCACTGAAAATCTAGGCTATTGGCTAGGTTCATCATGGCTATGTACATTCTTGAAACATTACGTTGATGCTTTATGATCCTCTCCATTTCAAGTGCTTTACTTTTTGTATTGTATAAATGATATACATGCCAAACTATTTTCTGCACCTCACTATTATTGTTCTGTTTTTTCTTTTTTCTTCTTTTTTTTAATAAAAATCATTAAAGGCGCATTTTAATTTGAACCTTTTCATTTTCAGGCCTATGGCTCAGGTTGTGATGTAGTGATCTTGGCTAGTGACTTCGAGTGTGTGCAAATAATCCCAGGAGCTCAGAATGGGAACATTCAGGTGGGCTGTGTGGAGTGCTCCCATCAGCTTGGCAGGGTAAGTGTTGACCTCACACTCAAATTCGTTCCCTCTTGTAATGTGTTGTTTTCTTTCACTCTTTGTCTGCAGTCAAACCACAGCACACTTGATAAGTGTGAAAGTAGTTAAAATTCTGTGCATGTTTAACTTTGTTGGCCACAGCTCTTAAAGTGTGACCCGCTCTTGAAAGGCAGCAGATAGAAGAAGAAGAACGACTAAATGTCACTGTTGCTGTTCTTTTGTTATGATGGTGTTGATAATTACACTCAATTATCTTGATTCATCTTTTTAATCTCAATAAATTGCCGTCAAGCATCATGTTCATCTTAATACATGTTCAATACATTCTAGGGTCTATTTTGTGAAGATATTGTTTTTGTTCAAATGTGACTTTTTAGAAAACAATCATTTTTACTAGATTTCTTCATGGCTTTGAAATGATGCTTTTATATAGATTGCTGCCTCCTACGGAAACACAGTCTGCATCTTTGAACCTCTCTCTACCAACCCAAACAAACGCCACAAGGTAGGCAGATAAACGGTTATTGAATAAAAATGGTTGTTTCTAGAAAAATATGATGAAGTGAGCGAGGGAGCCAATAACATTGCATGGTGTGTGTGTGTGTGTGTGTGTGTTGCTCTCGTCACTAACAGCAGCTTAACTATCAGTGGCAAAAGACAGGGCAGTTCTTCCTTGATGCCATCACCTACAACCTGGCGTGGGACCCACAGGGTATGCCAATGCTTTCGGTGTTTTTAAATCAACCTGTTAATGTTTTTCTTTCCAAAAACAGACTAATTGAATCCTCTCCACACACCACTTGTACTCCCTTACCACCTTTATTGCCCTGAAGAACTCGTACAATTGTGCATTATGTATCCCCCATAATACACGTGATGCTCCGTGCTCTTAAGTCCTCAACTTGGCCGTGAGATGTGTCACCTAGTGCCTTTGTTTCCTCAGGGAACCGTATCCTAGCAGCAACCGAGCGTCTTCAGCTGTGGGCTCCACCGCTGGCGGACACCTTAATCGAGGAGGAGGATGGCCAGGCGTCTGAGGACAAGCTCCATCCTGTTCTAAATGACTGGAACTGTGTCTGGCAGTGCAAGTGCGTCTTGTTTATGCATCTCTAGTGTGGTTGCCAAGGGAAAATGGGTACTTTTTTCATCTCGATTTGCAGTAAACCTCAAATCTAGTTTGAATCTTTAAAAATGAGAGAATATTTGAGTTTTTTTTTTTTTAATAACCAAACGTTGTGGAATGCTTCAAATTGAACATGTGCCGCTGTGAGTCATGTGATTTAACTTCAGTCAGTATCCATTCTGTAATTGTCATCTTATGACAAACTTGCATGATCACGAAAACCACTAAAACAGGGAAATGGCAGCTTTTAAAGCAGAAAAACTCACCGTTGCAAACTGGCTGCTCATGTGGAAATGAGCTGTCTTCTGCACAATGCTCATGTGACTGTGCGTCCGACAGGACTGCTGCATCTGTGCATGTTGCCAAGTGGTCCCCTGATGGAGAGTACTTCGCAACAGTTGGGAAGGTATGCAGATAATGTGACTTTGCAAAATAAGGACACCGTACTAAAGAACCAAGAATGATATTCATGTCCGTATTTATCTGCATTTGCGTGTTTGTCAATGTAGGATGACTGTTTACTCAAAGTGTGGTATCCCACCACGGGCTGGCGTTCTGCAGTGGTGGTCCAGGACCCTTCGGATAAGAAACCTCCTGCTGTTCACTTCTCTTTTGTTTACCTGGCCCATCCTCGCTCGGTCACCGGTATGTCCTGGAGGAAGACTAGCAAGTACATGCCAAAGTAAGAAATAAACCCACATTTGCAAAATGAAGTCCTATAATTCCTTAAAAGATGTACGTCAAGTGCATCCTTCATGTGTCTTCTTAGGGGTTCGGTGTGCAATGTTTTGCTGACATCTTGTGAGGATGGCGTGTGTAGACTGTGGTCTGAGACCCTGCTTCCAGAAGACAGCTTGCTAGGGGGCCAAATAACTGAGAACACACACTCGTTTAGCTCTAGCTTGCCAGGCTTGGCAGGCAATAAGGATAAGATTCAGCATGCCTTGGAGGTATCTAACATGGGATGTTTTTTTATGTCATGAACAGGAATAATTTACAGCAAAAATGTATTGTTTTCTTTGCTCCCTACAGCTTAACTATTAATTCCTAATTTTGCTTCGTTCGAACAGTCTATTCACCACCTGAAGCATCTGCGTCGGGGAAGGCGACGATCATCTGCTCTGGTAGCTCACAGTGAGCTGCTCCCCTCTCAGCTTGGCACGCAGGATGCGCACACTCACCGCCACATTGCTCATCATGCCAACGCTTTGTGTCACTTCCACATTTCAGCCAGTATTAATCCCAACACAGGTAGCGCCCTCTCCGAAGCAGCTGTCTTTACTGCTTTTCACATCTGTATTGATTTACTGTGTTTCGATGATCGGTCTGTCTCCGCTTCCTCTTTATTCCTTGTTTTCACTCGCAGACATCCCCTTAATGCTGGCAGACTCTACACTCTTCAACACAGATGATGGCACCGGGGCAGGAGGATTTGTGGTTCATTGGCTCAATAATAAAGATCTAAGTTTCACCTGCTCAATGGATCTTTTTATGCTACAGCTCCGTAAGTTCTCTGAACAACAGTTAGACCATGCCACAGAAGACCCCCTGGACCCTGAAGGATCCCCTTTGAAGTTTGACTTTGGTATGACCACAGTCCATTGGACAACCCTGAATGACTAATTCAATGCATATTTAGCACGAGCACATGATTAAACACAAGTTGTTTGGATTTCTAGACCTGGATGAGATGTCTGACAAAGCCTCATCTGAACTTGGAGAGGAGGGGGAGCCAGGGGAGCAGGGAAGCACAAAGGCATCCTCACCAGGATCCAGCTCCAGCTTACCTTTGCCCTCAATGCTGCTAGAGAGGAGAATGGAGATTCTAACCACAGAGTGGAATAAGAGTCCTGACATGCTGTTCACCATCCACCCAACTGACGGCTCGTTCCTTGTTTGGCATGTCAAGTACTTGGATGAATTTAACCAAGGCATCTTCAGGCAGGTTCAGGTAAGTACAGCTTTGATTATATAAAAACATTGTGGTGTCCTGCTTGTAATGTCACCCAAGTGTAATTGTTGAGTATTTTTCCAATACATTAGCTTGCCTGCTTTTAATCACTGATTACTGTGCCACATGCTCATTCAGGCATACAGTACACTCACTGGTGATTACAGTGGAGGAGGATTTGCCTCTTTCAGGAAGCTAAATAAGGCAACCAAAGTATTGCAGTAATTTCTCAGTATCGTAGCGCAGTTCAGATCCCTCTGACAGTGTGCATTTAAATTCATTATGATTATTTTGGAAATGGAGACCGTTTGACACAGCTTTTGCTTTTCCTCTTGTTGCTTGTGGATGCTTGTGGAGGCTCTCAGTCATACAGGAAAGTTCCATACGATATGATTTTCCTCTTGTTAACAATTATAAAACGTATGCATTTTTTTGTTATTCTGTACATCAAATGAGTATGAACAATTGTGGTTTTCTTTCCTTCAAATGTGCCTACAGGTGTCCTTTTCCTCCCGTATCCCAGTGGCATTTCCGACAGGTGACGCCAACTCTCTGAGTAAAAACATCCTGATGTATGCCTGTACTTTGACCGAGAGGGAGAGTTTCAGGGCAGCCGAGCAGGGAAGGATGGGTCAACATGTTGCTCACTCTGCCTCGGCCTCGGCTGGCCTTGGTTTTCCTGCCTTAGCCTCCTCTTCTCCTAATCTTGGTACCAGTCCTGCCGTCATGATGGTCTCCAAGCATGTTGACGGATCTCTTAACCAGGTGTGTGTGATTGTGTGTTTGTGGTGGGGAGAAGTCTCTGAACACCTGCTTTTGTATGCTAGCAGAATCATTGAAAAAAATTGCATTGTTTCCAGTGGGCTGTGACATTCGCAGAACGCTCTGCGTTCTCCAACGTATTGACCGTGTCCCACAAATTTCGCTATTGTGGCCACCGTTTCCATCTGAATGACCAAGCCTGTCACACAGTGCTGCCACTGCTGCTCACGTCCTCACACCATAATGCACTGCTTACACCTCCCTCGGCTCCTGGCAGCATGGATGGGGAACAACCTCCCACATTTCCCCTTCCAAAGGGACTTCCTAGGTAAGGGGCAAAGAAAACGCACTATGTACTCATACAGGAACCAGAAGAGGTAAGGACAATAAAAGTCACAAGTATTTCGCTATTCGTTGATCAGGAAGCAGCTTCGCAATGCAGCAACAAGGACCTTCCACGACCCCAATGCCATCTACAGTGAACTCATCTTGTGGAGGGTGGATCACATTGGACCCCTCTCATGCACCGGAGGGGTCTCTGAACTGGCTCGGATCAACTCTCTGCACACCTCTGCTTTCAGCAATGTTGCTTGGCTACCTTCACTAGTTCCCAGCTCTGTACTTGGTAAACATTGCACAATTGTTTGCAATTTGTCAAGACATCGTCGTGTTTGAAAGCAGCATTTCATTCAGTTCTGTGATGCTGTTATGCATTTGGTATTTACGAGTGCATGATATCAACGATTCAGATCATCAAAGTACCTTCAATGCCATGCAATACTCAACTACAATATGCAAAGGAAATAAAGACCTCGTCTCCATATATTCTCCAGCCTTATGCGTCAGTTTTAATTTAGCGTCCAACTATGTTTTGTTCCCTTCAGGAACATACTGCAATAGTGCCAGTGCCTGCTTTGTGGCATCAGATGGTAAGAACCTGCGTCTGTATCAAGCTGTGGTCGATGCCAGAAAGCTACTTGATGAATTGTCAGATCCAGAAACATCTGTGAGTGGACTAACACACGAACACCCACACACAAATGAGATGTGATAATCAGAATAATACGTCACCTTTTTCCTCTGTTTGAATTGAAATATATTTTGGGCACTAACTTGTAGGGTGTTGTGTGTCAAATTTGATGCAGAACTAACCAAAACGCACTGTAATACTGTCAATATATTTCACACACATTGGAAAATCATTTTAACCAAAGCATTGATTCACAGAATTAAAGTTATCGCATCCTTATAATAATGTTGTGTCATGTTCAGAAATTAGTTGGTGAAGTGTTCAACATTGTCAGTCAGCAGTCCACCGCCCGACCTGGCTGTATCATAGAGCTAGATGTCATTACAAACCAGGTGAGCCATCGCTCTATATTTCACATCAGCATCCTGAGAAAAAAAAATCCAGATCTTGAAATCTCCAAATTGTGTTCACAGACCATATAAATAAATGTTTTCTATTTCCATGTACAACACAGTGTGGAGCCAACACCCAGCTGCTGCATGTCTTCCAAGAGGACTTCATTCTAGGTTATAAGCCTCAAAAGGAACCAGATACACACCCAACTGCTTTTCCATCTGGTGAAGGTGCACTACACCATCTGATTAATGCTGCATGTCGATACTTTCTGAAAATTTGCAAACCAGAGTAAAATGTTTAAGAAGATTGCATAAATTACACTCTTCTGAAACCAGATTACCACCCTCCTCCTTTTTCGGAGAAGTTTTTCCTGGTGGTGATAGAAAAGGATCTCAACAGGAACTCAGTGCTACAAATGTGGCACCTGCACCTTCAGTCTGTCCAGGCGTGTGTTGGTAAGAGGCGGCATCAGATATTTATTGTAATTAAAGCATTCTTTTCTGGTTTTATTTTATCGTATTCAATCCAATAATCATTTCTCTGTTGTAATGTGCTGCACTAGCTGTCATATCTAAAATAGAGGCGGAAGATAGCTTTAATCTTAATGTATCATTGTGTCCAGATGATCTGAACCAAGATTCTAGCTTCCAGAGCCAACTAATGGTTCCCAATCAAGTTGTGAACCCTGACTCATCTCCGGAGACCTCCCCTATCAAACCTCTTCCCCGCTCAGCCTCCACGATCAACTTGCAGTCAGCCAGCAAACTCATCCTTAGTTCCAAACTGGTGTATAGCAAGCGACTAGACCTGCCCCATGGGGTCGAGGTTACCAGAGCCACACCGTCTGCTGGTAAGCCTCAGCATTGTCCTCACTCATGTCATGCACAAATTGCAAGAATTGGACTTCAAATCCATGTTTGGCTAGTATTATTTCATACAACAACACAATTGTATGAACTAATAATAATAGTATTATTTAATAAATAGAAACGTGTTGAAAATTATTGACAAACTAAGTAGATAAAGAAGAGATTTTCTGGCACCACATGTAACATATTTCTATTTTTCTCATTTTTGTTTCCCTCTTCTTTTAGGCCATCTCAGTTCCTCCTCCATCTACCCTGTATGCTTGGCTCCTTATCTGATTGTGACTACCTGCTCAGACTCTCGGGTGCGGTTCTGGCGTTGTGCCGTAGAGGGTGATCATGGAGATAGTGACTATGACCAGGACAAGCGGATGTACCGCTGGGAGCCGTGGGCTCTAATGAACGAGGAGGAAGACAACAACAGCGCTGTGTTTGTGTCGGGACGGCCTGTTGCCGTGTCATGCTCCTACATTGGTAGGCTGGCTGTGGCTTTTAAACAACCACGTCAAGGACAGGTAAGGTATTTGATTAAATATTAAATAGATGACTTCATTTATTCAGGTGCAATGACTTTTTTAATGTTTATAATAGTTAACGAACCACATGTACAAGATACACATCATAGCTCTCCAGCAGGATCTTCGCATCTCCAAAATCACAACTTTTCAGAAAAATCCCCATTTAACGCCATGTTGCTTAAGTGACCAAGTAGCGTGTTGTCCAACATTATTCGCCAAATAATGTCAGTAAATACAAATTAAAGCGCCTGTGTGTGATGTAGTACTGGTAAGTACGTTCTCAATGCCGATTGGCTGTCACCAATGACTTGGACTGACTCTGCCCGCCTGAAATGATGACGCAATGATGACTGACAGACTGACGTGCACACCACTGCTCATTGATTTAAATGGTACAGATCCATTGCCGCCACCGGCAGTAAATATCAAAGTCTGCACTCATGCCGACTCCCTGATTTGAAAACCAAAGGCAAACAACTGTGTTTATATTATCTTCCCAAACATTTTTTTCAAAAGGTAGAAGAGGCATGAGAGGTGCAATAAACAAATTAATTTGCTTACTAAGGCAGAAAAGAATCCACATGCAAACTTACCTTTGTGAATGATAAGTTCCTTTTCCACTGAAGCATTTCAGCTTTCATTTTTTAACATACCGGTATTTAATTTATACTACTTTGATTGTTTCTGTGGCACTTTATATTGTATATTTTTTTCACAAATGTTTTTTTCCCCCTCTAGATTTCTGGAAAAGAGTTCTCAATGCACGTGTCTATCTATGAATGTGAATCAACTGGTGGTTCAGAGTGGGTTTTGGAGCAAACTCTCCACTTAGAAGAATTTAACAGACCCTCATCAACATTGGACCCAAGAGTCAGCGTGGACTCGAACCTCTTTGTTTACAGCAGGTCAGGAGGATACTGCCTATGTCAGTAAGCTTCTGTACTGCTAACAGCTGTCTTAAATATAAAAGTGAATTTCTCTCTGTACTAGGTCAGACCTGTACATGACTCGAGACCACAACTCACCCAATATCAAGCATTACGTCCACCTGGATTGGTTGTCAAAAGAAGATGGCTCTCACATCCTTACAGTGGGGGTCGGATCAAACATTCTCATGTATGGTCGCATCTCTGGCATGGTTAATGAGCAGACAAGCAGCAAAGAGGGTGTGGCTGTCATCACCCTTCCTCTGGGGGGCAGTATCAAACAAGGGATCCGCTCTCGCTGGATCCTACTCAGGGCCGTGGACCTTCTGTCCTCTGTGGATGGCACTCCTTGTTTACCAGTTTCACTCTCTTGGGTGAGGGATGGCATCTTGGTGGTGGGCATGGATTGTGAGATGCACGTATATGCCCAGTGGCACCAGGACAAGAAGCCCGGTGAGGGAGAGGAGGGCAACCTGTCATCTGCCGATATTGCTGGAGGTCAAACCATAGCTACTTCTTCAGTCTTTGAAGGGAGAGCCAGGTCCAAGAGTGTGTTTGAAGGGAGCGCCGCCGTGGATGAGGCCCTACGTGCCCCGGCGGGACTTCAAGAGGGTGGACTTTTTGAGGCGGCTCACTCTTTGTCCCCGACTCTACCCCAGTATCATCCCACCCAGCTCCTTGAGCTCATGGATTTGGGAAAGGTTCGCCGTGCCAAGGTGAGTCTCCCTCATCCCCTAGTTACAGTGGTTCTCAAACTTTTTACACCATGTACTGTATAAAAAATGTTCTACATTAAATTTCTACATTAACACTGTGCTTAAATGTAGGAAAGTTAAAAAAAATAAATCCTGTAATAATGATTCAATTAAAATAAAATATTGCTCATAAATGTTTGATAAAAATTATACCTAAATAATTATTTGAAAAACAAATTAATTGGATCTAAATGAATTGTACCTAATATAAACTGCACCTCAGCTGTACTCAACAAATGCATGGTACTGGATTAAAACAAGTTTAAGGGGAAACATGCATACATTTCTTTGCAATAGTACGCTGTATGTGCACCCACTAGTCTAATCACGATAGATTGCATTTTTGGAATAAGAATTAAGAAGATGAATCCACATGAGTAAATTTTGAATTTAGTTCCCCATTCAGCCACTTTAACATTCATTATGCAAAGTTTCAACACAGAATTTAGTGATTCTTTAAAATCCTGCTAGAGGGAGCTTCCTTCCATTCTACTAATGTTACACAAGCCACACTTTGATAACCACTGTTTAAGTAGTATGTCACTCTAATTTCCTGTATATATCTATCTTTCTGTCAGGCCATTCTTGCTCATTTGGTGAAGTGTATTGCTGGGGAGGTTGCTGTAGTAAGAGATGTCGAGGCAGGAGAGGGTGGAGCCAGGAGACACTTGTCTCGAACCATCAGTGTGACTGGCAGCACAGCAAAAGACACCATCGTGGCTGGTCGTGACGGAGGGCGGGATTATACCGAAATCAACTCCATCCCCCCGCTGCCTCTCTATGCGCTCATGTTAGCTGATGAAGATACTTCCTTCAAGGGACCAGAAGACACTGTCAAAGGACCCAAAGTGGTCAATGGTGAAGCAGGGCACATGACTGCCGAGGACCAATATGCTGACCTATTCCAGGTTTGTACGCAATGTAATCGAATTCATTTTGTCATTGAAGATTGACACTGATTTCGATTAAACGCAGCACTGTGTTAACAGGTGCCAACAGTCACCACGGATGACTTTGTCAATTTTGCTACTGACAAACCAGAGAAGAAGTCTCGAGTTATCAACCTCTCTCAATACGGTCCTGCCTACTTTGGACCAGAGCATGCGCAGGTATTAAGAAGCAGAACGCGCTTACAGTAAGACTGGAAAAATGAGCTTGTTATATCGGCTATATATTGCCTACTTATTTTTTGTTATAACATGTAGAAATTGATGAGAATTTAAATGCATTGATGGTTAATGAAATCATCAATGTTACTTATTAGAAATAGTCTAATAACATGCCTACAACATTAAGCAGCTTCATGACTTATCCTTCACCAACACATACTGCACCTTGTGTCTCTCTAGGTGTTGTCCAGTCACCTTATGCACTCCAGCCTCCCTGGACTAACCCGACTTGAGCAAATGTTCTTGGTGGCCCTGGCTGACACGGTAGCAACCACTAGTGCTGAGGTCACAAACTCCACTGATCAACAATACACAGGTCAGAAATGGTGTCAATATGCTACCGTTTTTATTGTATCCCATTGAATATACAGCATACAATTTGTGGTTTTGTGATGTTTAACTGGTGCCATGATTTCTATATCGATAAAATAGGCCACAGTTTATTCAAGCACTTTCATGCAGCATTATCCAAATGTCCTTGAAAATGAATCTCACCAAAAATTAAGAGTCCTTATGTTGCGACTGTCCCCACTTAGTGTGAAGAGAAAATGCTGTCCCGTGTTCTCATGCTAATCGAAAAATGTCATGAAATTCCGATCATTTTTTCCAACAGATAGCGGTGCGCATATTTCTGAGTAGTTATATTGTAATTTGCCAGAAAGTAAAGAGCCTTGGAAAGAGATCATACAGTCTTTAGGTTGGTGAAAGGTTAGGAACATTATGATCAGCATGAATTTTTCTTGATTGCGTGTTCCTGAACATTGGTAATCTTCAGCCATCAAATCTTTGTGCTAAATAACGTTGTTTCTGCTTTTGCAGACTGCTCTTTTCCTGGTCTTTTTGTCTGTTCTCTGCAATTTATACTGTAATCCTATTTATTTAGTCTTTTGAGCAGAAGACATTAGCAGGTTGTTCCAGCACAGAGACGGTAAGAAGGTTCAGGGACAAGAGAAACAGAGTGACAGGAATGCACGAAATGTAGTGACACAAAAGGGCTTTTTTTTTTTTTTTTTTTAAATAATAAGCGTTTAAAGGGAAGTGCTCCTGCTGCAATGAATAACAATGACACGAGTGGCACTAGTTGACAGCTACCTGGTATGTTTGTAGGAGGTGAGGCTCTGGATGAGTGTGGACTGAGGTACCTGCTGGCCATGCGTCTTCATACTTGTCTGCTCACCTCTCTGCCCCCACTTTACCGCATGCAGCTTCTTCACCAGGGTAAAACACTTTGCTCTTAACACTGCTGTTTTATTTTATTTGATACGTTGACCTCACCAGCTCATTTAATCTTGACAGTTTCTTTCATGCCATCGTCACTCCTTTTCTTGTTCTATCTGTCCTTGTTAGGTCTGTCAACATGCCATTTTGCCTGGGCCTTTCACTCTGAGGCAGAGGAGGAGCTGCTAAATATGATTCCGGCCATGCAGAGAGGTGACCCCCAGTGGTCTGAGCTCCGAGCTGTTGGTGCTGGTTGGTGGATACGCAACATTAACACCTTGCGGAAAATGGTGGAGAAGGTACCTAGATATCCAAATTCTAAAAAACACGTTACTAATGGGAAAATGTGCCATTAAAAACCCCTATGATTTGTTGTTTCAAGTCCTAAATATTTTTAGTTAACTTAAGCGACAGCTACTTCTTAAATGACTATTTTACAAAACAGTTTTGGTCACTGAGATTATCACCAAATTGTTTAAATGTTACCTTCAAGTGCCTCTCCTGTTATTTAACTTTCATGCAAGAGCTAACAAAAATGATTCAAAGTATCACGCTTGCATGTCAAATGTTCTTGGACTTGAAGAATCGACAGTGTAGCTGTGTCACAAAATAATCTTCCCAAAACATTCTACAATTAAATACCAACCTAAATGAATTGCATTTGAGACTGGTAATATGTTCGGTCTATCATTTCATTGTAAAAAGTGGAACGTCTTTTTTTATGGTTGTATCAGTTGGGCAAAGCTGCATTCCAGAGGCACAGTGACCCTTTAGATGCTGCTCTCTTCTACCTGGCCATGAAGAAAAAGGCTGTCCTGTGGGGACTCTTCAGGTGGGACTTTTTTTTGTCTTTTTTTTTTTTTGGTCTTTTTTTGGGAGAAAAAAAAAAGCAAAAATATTGGTTTGTTTTCATTTGTAGTTTTTTAAAACAATGTTTTATTTAAGGGTATACTCTCATTGGGGATATCGAGATAAATAGTTTGTTTCTCTCAGGTCCCAACATGATGAGAAGATGACTCAGTTCTTCAAGAATAATTTCAGTGAAGACCGCTGGCGAAAGGCGGCGCTAAAAAATGCTTTCTCCTTGCTTGGAAAGCAACGCTTTGAACAGTCGGCCGCCTTCTTCTTGCTGGCTGGATCACTCAAAGACGCGATAGAGGTGTGAACAACTCTCCCCTAGTATTTCCACTCAATAAGCATTTCTCTTTTCCCTGCAGTATATTTCACACATCTATGTGGATTGCTGAAAATAGAGATCCTTGTTTCTGAGGTAGCTGATTATGCTGCAGCTCTAAGCCAAATTATATTGATGGTCTTTTTTTGGGAGAAAAAAAAAAGCAAAAATATTGGTTTGTTTTCATTTGTAGTTTTTTAAAACAATGTTTTATTTAAGGGTATACTCTCATTGGGGATATCGAGATAAATAGTTTGTTTCTCTCAGGTCCCAACATGATGAGAAGATGACTCAGTTCTTCAAGAATAATTTCAGTGAAGACCGCTGGCGAAAGGCGGCGCTAAAAAATGCTTTCTCCTTGCTTGGAAAGCAACGCTTTGAACAGTCGGCCGCCTTCTTCTTGCTGGCTGGATCACTCAAAGACGCGATAGAGGTGTGAACAACTCTCCCCTAGTATTTCCACTCAATAAGCATTTCTCTTTTCCCTGCAGTATATTTCACACATCTATGTGGATTGCTGAAAATAGAGATCCTTGTTTCTGAGGTAGCTGATTATGCTGCAGCTCTAAGCCAAATTATATTGATAACATTCGGTAAATGTCCACATATCTTTCCTTGACCAAGGTTGAACATACAAAGTAGTCAAAACCTAGATAGCAAAAATAAATAAATAAACGTTCTTACACGCCTAAACTTGCATTAAAGATGTATTTGTAATCTGCCTCTCACATCCCATCTCCTGTTTTGTGGTGTGTAGGTTTTGATGGAGAAGATGGAGGACCTCCAGTTAGCCATGATAGTCGCTCGACTCTATGAAGCAGACTTTGAGAATTCATCCACCTGCCAAGGCCTCCTTTATGAGAAGGTTCTCGGTTGTAACAGGGATGGAAGTCACTACCACTGTTCTAGACTTCACCCTGACCCGTTCCTGCGCAGCATAGCATACTGGATCATGAAGGATTACACCCAAGCCCTGGACACACTCTTAGAGCGCATCCCCAAAGATGATGATGATAACCCTGGTGAGTTGCTTTTGAGACATTCAATAAATCACTTGCTAAATCTCACTAACATTTTTTAAGGCTTTGTTTGTTCGACAGTGTTTATGTTTTTCTCTACCACACTTATTTTTGCATTGTGTCTTAGATGTGATGGTCAAGTCTTGCAACCCTGTGGTGTTCAGTTTCTACAATTATCTAAGAACGCACCCACTCATCATCCGGCGGCACTTTGCAAGCTCAGAGGGTACAGCAACCACAGTGGGTCTCACTGCAGAAAAGAGTAGTGCTGATGAGATCAACCTCATAGAGCGCAAATTGTTCTTCACCACAGCAAATGCACATTTCAAGGTGGGCTCACATATCTGGCTCTTCTAACCACTCTCACCATTGCCCTTCCTCTCTTATCGTCAGGAACCAGAACTTTCCTCGACTGTTTCAAATTGTAAATTGGATTTTTTTAAATGCTAATGCAAAAGCATTAAACAAAAACTTATTGACAAATATTCACACTATGGTAGTTATTTTAATTTAATCTTATACCTACAGGTGGGCTGCCCAGTTCTGGCCCTGGAAGTTCTCTCCAAAATTCCCAAAGTTACAAAGAAATCAAATTCGTCTCCCCTGAGCAAGGCTTCATCCAAGGGCAACTCAAGCCAGCAACTGGAAAAGAGCACAGTTATAGAATGGGCTTCACCTGCACCCCCTGCATGGGGAGGAAATGAAAGTGCAGGTGGGATGGACTGGAGCCAGCCCATGGGCAAGTTGGAGGACGATGAGCTGAAGCTCGACTGGGGGGATGACAAGGAAGATGATGAAGATGACGATGAGGATTGTCTGACTATGAAGAAACTTGCCACTGCGATGAAAGCGGAGGGAGCTTTTGAATCTAAGCTGCAGAGAGATGACTCACAGGTTGGACAAGTACCTTCACAGTTTAGCCAAAGGGGAAGACATATTTTTCTGATTTAAATGAGTGAATAAAATACTGTAATTTTGTTTATCCTGTAGATAGGGAAAAATATATTAATCACAAGAAAAGCTTGATGCAACGCTTGATAGTGACTCAGAAAATGGTCATTTCTCTTTTTATGTTTTAGGGCGAGTCTGAAGTGGATGTGATTGCAGAGCAGCTGAAGTTCCGCGCCTGTCTAAAAATCCTAATGACAGAACTGCGCACACTAGCCACGGGTTTCGAGGTGGATGGAGGCAAACTTCGTTTTCAGCTCTACAGTTGGCTAGAGAAGGAGATAGCAGCCATGCATAACATCTGCAACTACAAGGTCAAATAGTCCCCCCCCCCCCAGGTAATCTTTGAAGCCAAATATATATATATTTATTTATTTTTAATGAACATGCAGGTAGAAGGCAAGGAGCCTGAGGCAGAGCACTGGGCAGAACGAGCGGCATCAGTGGATATATCAGATGACCTGTTGGAGAGAACAGACGCTGGTGCCTATGAGCGTCACCAAATGGAGCGGCGGCGCCTTCAGGCTAAGCAGCAACATTCGGAGCGGCGCAAGGCTTGGCTGAGGAAGAATCAGGCCCTGCTCAGGGTTTTCCTCTCTTACTGCAGCCTGCATGGAGCCAAGGGAGGAGGAGTCACCTCTGTACGCATGGAGCTCCTTTTCCTTCTGCAGGAGAGCCAACAGGTAGCCACATACTCGTTGAATACCAATGGATTAGGTGTCTCATGTATTTGCAACTTGATTGATGCCTATCACTCTTCTTGGCGCAGTAAATGAAGAATTCACAAATGTTTCTTCTTAGGAGATCACAGTGAAGCAGCTGCAGTCTCCCCTTCCTCTCCCGACCACTTTGCCTCTGCTCTCGGCCTGCATTGCCCCCACCAAAACGGTCATAGCCAATCCCGTGCTTCATCTCAGCAACCACATTCATGATATTCTGCACACCATCACGCTCATGGAGGCTCCGCCGCATCCAGATATCATCGATGATCGGGTCAGAATTACATTTAATCACACAGTCTTTCGGTGTCGTTTGCGTGAATTGATTGAAATGTAGAAAAATGAATTGTGTGTCTCGTTCTTAGGTAAATGCCCTTCACACACTGGCAGCGTCTCTGTCTGCTTGCATCTATCAGGCGTTGTGTGACAGCCATAGTTACAGGTAGTCCACTACTTTATCCCTCGCATATTTGAATGTTGACTGGCTTTTTTTTTTTTTATATGCTACTAAAGTGCACAGTTGTAGCACGCCCTTTCTGATTTATGTATTACTTTTTTTTTTTTAAACAATTTTGTTGAGAAGTGACGGTTGTGAGATAAACAATCAATCAATTACAAGAAAATTATTGAAAAGGTGCAGGTGAAGCCTCATACCTTTTTATTGACTTTGCAGTAGCCAGACTGAGGCCAATCAGTTTACTGGAATGGTGTACCAGGGCTTGTTGCTCAGTGAGAGGAAACGACTCCGCACAGAAAGCATAGAGGAACATATCACTCCAAACTCGGCTCCAGCTCAATGGCCAGGTAAGAAGTTCTGCACTTGAAAAGGCAGATTACCACCACTGCAATCTTTATTTCTTGAATGACTTGACTTTTCATTCTTCTGTTTGACATGTTCCTTATAATGAATTAGTTCAGAGTTCAATTGAAAGTGTGGGTGTTAATAAAATGGCCTATGAGAGAGCATCAGCAACAAGATATCGAGAGAATATGAAAAGCAGAGGAAGGAGTGCAAAGCAGGAGGTCTGTGTTTATGCAAATAGGCAGATGGTGTTCTATAATAGGAGCTTCATGGCCTCTGGGAAGGAAACAGAAAGACAGACCGCGCTCATTATGTTAATGCTTTGTGAATTGCCTTTATATCGTGCAGAGACTGCATTTTTGTTCTTTGATATGATGATATTTGATAATGTTATGCATGTGTGTTCCGTTTTTCCAGGTGTGTCGTCCCTGATTTCTCTGTTGACGTCTGCCAGGGAGGAGGACCAGCCGAGACTCAACGTGCTGCTGTGTGAGGCAGTCATGGCTGTTTATCTAGCCTTGCTCATCCATGGCTTGGGCACTCACAACAGCAATGAACTCTTCCGCCTTGCCGCACATCCTCTCAACAACCGCATGTGGGCCGCAGTCTTTGGAGGAGGGGCCAAAGTCATAATAAAACCAAAGAGGCCCGAGGCCCCACCAGGTATATATCATGAGTGTTTTGTTGTACTTTCTGTCTTTTCATTTGTTCTGTGTTTCTTTATCTGTCTTGACACTTCAATGCCCTGGGCCCATCTTGTTGTTATTGTCTCCTCTATCGTAACGCTTCTTTCTGAATCACTGGGGGGGAAAAGAAAAAAAAACATCCTCTCAGCCCTGATGTCCTCCCTAGGATGCAGTTGTAGGTATATAGTGTCTTGTGTGAGTGTGCACTCTGCCCTGTGTCCCAGTGCCAGCTGATTTTGAGGCAGCCAGGCCAGAGGAGTCTCAGGAGTCACGGAGACTTGAGCAGGGCAGCCTCACCCAAAACCCCAAACCCATTCCCTATGAAACGCAGTGGCCCAAAGAGTACCCTCCTCTCGTTTCAAGGGGAGGTGGGCCAGCCACAGTGGCACCAGCAACTAAAACCAGCTGTGAGTAACAAGCTGGTGGTTTGCAGTTCTGGTTTGCAGGATTGAAGTGCATGGTAGATGTACAGGTCTGCACTGTTGCTGATGATGCCCCCCCTACTCTTTGTTGTGTGGTTAACGCTGAATGTCAATTACGGCCATGTGTAATTTGAAGTGGGTTTTTGATAAGACAAAAGCATATGTTGGTGTTTGTGTGTAGTGTGTGTTGTCCTGCATGTGCGTGCAATGTCCTTTGTGCTCAACTCATGATATCATCCCTCCCTGTTGTGCCGCTGAAGCAAAAGTTGGGGCAGGCAAAGAAGTTACTGAAGCCCAAGCTGATCCCCCACAAACTAATTCTGAAGTTATGGCTAAACCAGGTACATCCTGTGGGGTTGTTAGAGTAATGAAGTAGTGGACCCAAAACTCTAGAAAATAACCTTTATTAATCAGTGTTCATTTGATGGCAACAATGTATGGTCTTGTGTGCGCCAGTAGTTTGAACGTATTTAGAACTAACTATTTCATTGTAGACGGACTCACTACGTAGCAGTGTATTAAACTAGCTGCATGAAATTCGCACTCCACAGTGCTCTGACTTTGTTTTGTGGAGGAGGAAGAAACAGATTGGCATTTAGACTAAAAGTGAGAGATATCAGCAAGTGGAGACGAGCGTTTGAAGAACAGAGGTAAAATGGAGGCGCTCTTAAAACCCAACCGATTCATGGGAATCATTTTAATAAAAGATGAAATCCTAACCTTTTGAGCACAGATAACGCCATTTTGCAAACACGTAGCCACACACACTTCACATGGTACGCCTCAGAATATGATACACCTTTTTTATCATCATTTGAGCTCCTCAACAAAATCCCAATCATCATTGATGTGGTTCTGTCTATATATTTGTGATAGACTACATTACTTTCACTAATACAAGAGTGTGTGTCATATCTGTGAGTCTAACTGCTCTGTCAACTCTGTGCTGTGTTGTGTCTTGTTTTGTCTGGTGCAATGCCAGTGATAGTCCTGCAGGATAATAGTGCAGGTTTGTGCTTATCCAAGTGAATGTATGCTGAATGTCTGTCCAGTGCATTTTTGCGCAAATTACATCTTGTCAATTGGATGTGTACACTGCACTGTTCTGGCTGTTGATGCATTTTACTTGATCCTGGTGTATTTCTAGATATTTTGCCAGTACCGTGATGCAATATCGCAGATCCTCCTTATCCAGCAATTGGCCGCCTGGAGCAAGCTTGTGTAATTCAAATCTGAAAGATGTTGTCTCTTTGTCTTGTCTATCAGTGGTGCCCCCTCAGCCCCAAGCTGAGGATGGGGACCGATACAGGCGCAGATTTAATATGAGGATGCTGGTACCTGGTCGCCCTGTCAAGGAGACGCCAGCCGCCCCACCACCGCTGCCCACAGAGAGACCCACTTACAGGGAGAAATTTATTCCCCCAGAGCTGAGCATGTGGGACTATTTTGTAGCCAAAGTAAGGCATTAACTGCATTTCTAACAGTTAAATCAATTCATGAAACGTGGTTGAATCAATCAATAAAATGTGGTTGTTATCATCGCATTACACTTAACGGTAAAATGAAGCAAAATGTTCACGTCGTAATTTACATTGCAACTTAATGAAATGTGATATTTGTAACTTGCGATCGTGTTGCCTCTCACCCCCATTTCTTGGCCCTCTCAGCCTTTTCTGCCATCGTCAGAGAGCAATGCTTTGTGTGACTCGGATGAAAGTGGAGCAGAGGATGATGAAGATGATGATGACGCTTTCCTTTCCGACACGCAGATGACTGAGCACTCTGACCCAAACTCCTACAGGTGGGCTGTGCTTCTTTTCTATCCCATCGTTTGGGAGGCTGTGCCTTTGGTTTTAACAATCCTGTGTGCTGTCTATTTGGCAACTTAGCTGGGCTCTGATCCGCTTGGTCATGGTGAAACTCTTTCATCACTGCATTAAGAACTTTCTCCCTATTACTGGGCTTGAATTTGCAGGTACAAACATACTGCTACTCTTTTGGTTACTCTTCAATGAACTGTCGCATATTCAGCTAAATAAATTGGAATATTTTCTGTGTTTTGGTTTTGTTTTTTTGTTCTTTTTTTTTTTTTTTTTTGCTACAGACTTGCCAGTCACTTCACCTTTCACAAATGCTGTGTTGAAGACTCTCGAGAACTGGGAACATATTTTATTGGAGACCATGAACAAATTTGACGGTCCGCCCCCCAACTACATTAACACTTACCCTACTGACCTCAGTGCTGGAGGCGGTCCTGCCATCCTGCGTCACAAGGCCATGCTGGAGGCAGACAACACTCCTTTCAAGTGAGACTAGAAATGTGCAAAATGCAAATTGTGCAATAGCAAACAAGTAATGGAAACACAGAAATTTTGAAAAACCGCTCAAATATTGCAAAAAAAAAGTTTTTACATTCTCATGGTGGTTTTTGAGACGTGTCGATACGGCTGTGTCCCAATGTGCACCCTTATCACCTAACCCAGGGGTGTCAAACTCATTTTTGTCGCAGGCCACATTTTAGTTCCCGTTTCCCTTGGAGCGCCCTTATGACTGAAACCACATAAAGAAGTCAAGAATAACTGTTGATTCAACTCTTGCTTAAGTTACTATTTATGAGGCGTTTGGTCACAAGAAAATGTTTAGAATATCTCTCTTATTTATGACATATGAGAATTGAAATTTTTGGGAGACATTTTAGAAAGCATCGTGGAAGTTGACATGTTTGATCTGCTTTCACAGGGTGTATGCCACACAGGAATAATATTGAGAGAATCTTAGAATTCATACATTCTGATCTGTTTAAATGTTCATGTCTGTCAGGACAAAAAATCATCAGTCCTTTCCAGCTCGACGCCTGTGGCATTTCTTGGTCAAACAGGAAGTTCTTCAGGAGACCTTAATTCGTTACATCTTTACCAAGAAAAGGAAGCAGAGCGAGGTCAGTTGTTTACATGCTTTTGCAAAATTTGTTTGTTTTGTTGTAATTATACATGAGGTAGAAGAGAGAAAATTCATCAAGCAGGTGAAATACTGTTCGGACGTGCCCTAACTCCAGGCCTGGCTCCTGAGAGGGGTCCCCCTGTAACCCGCATCTGCGAGGGAAAATTATGTCTGCTTATGGTCATCTATATCAGGGTTTTTGAGCCGTACTTTGTCTGGTCCGTCACTAAACACATGTTTGCCCTGGCGACCCTGCCAGGGTCTTTAAGCACCAGACAACTTAGTCCCTTGGATCATTGGGCCATACACACACCTCCACCACGATAATATGGTGGAGGTGTTTGTATGTATATGTCATTTGCTTATACCCTTCACAGAATGCGCAAAATGAATGACGCTACCATTTTTGGCTTCCAGTAGACTCATTCCCAGGGTGCAACAGTAGATCAGTTTCCACATCCGTTTTGTTTGAGCAATGATGTTTGCATCTGTTGCGCGTGAAGATTTTAAGTAATTCAGGCCCTGAGCATTTATGTGTTGATATTGATAACGGAACTATCCTTGCTTTGACTTCTGAGACATCTTCAAGTACGTGACAGTTAAATAACATTTGTGTTGTCTGGAACTGCTCATTACTGTGTGGTTACTCAAGTAGACAGAAGCTACCAGATAAGTGTTCCACAGTGCACACTCTTTGCATGTTGACGAGGTGGCCTCATCATCAAATACATTCAGATGATATTTTATACATTTAAAATCCTGTCAGCCCTTTTTGATTTTCATTTTTCATTCCATGTTTTATTTTGTGTGTGCATGGGGTTTGTGTTGTGCTGTGTTGTGTTGTGTTGTGTTGGTGTGTTCTGTGCCTTTCGTGTGTGGTATAGTCTGTAGACAACCATATGGACCATGTAAGGCCAAACTGCGTAGCTGGAGCTAGCAGTCTCAACAAGGTAGTATTACCTAGTATCAGCAGGCTGGCTTTGTCTGTCCTTCTGGCTCTTTGGCATAGTCACTACTTGGCAAAGCTTGAAGGAGCAACATTAA